CCCCAGCCCTTCCCCACTCCCCCTCCCCTCTCCTCGCTTCACAGTCTGTTCGAAAATGCTTTGATAATCAAATCAGCTTTTTACACCTGACAGCTCGATTCATCTCCACTTGGAGCGTTGTTTATCCATACACATCCGCGCAGTCATTTACGTTGACCCGTCCCTCACACTGCTGACCTTCCTCGTGTTCTTTTTAATCTGTCATTCAGTAATCCGCTTTGCCCAACTGTTCTTTGCCTGCGAAATGCCCAGTCCAAAATTCTTCCTCGCACATTTTTGAAAAGACAACTCGTAGTTTGATAAAAGTCATCCATCCTGCTCTGCTCCACTTGCTCAGACTCGAAAAACCGACTAATTATTCACTTTGCTTATACCAAGTAGATACCACTGTCTGTACGCGCAACAGACTGTCGCCGAAACAAATTCCTCTGCACAGCAAATTCATTTAACAAATTTTGCAGCGCCCGCGAGTATTCGGTGATCAGCTAAGAAAATGAGCTTTTGATTGTTGTTACAAAATCCCCTGTTATTTCAGTTTGCCGGAAATTTTTTTCAACTACGCAAGTAAACAGTTTCAGGAAATAAATTCATTTTGCTTCACGTCTCCGCCAATTCCTATTTTAGGCGCTCGTCGAATAGAGATTTTTGTATATGATTCGATGAAAGAATCTCTGCTGATTTCGATGCACAACGGATCTCGCACCTGATCTGGCACAGCACTGTGCTCCATTGTATTGTGAAAGCTTCTTGAAATCGACGGATAGTAAAAATACAAGTCGAGTACTGTACTCTATGCACCTTCTACGAACTGCTTTACGGCAAAAATGTGGTCGATAATGGTAAAACCACACTGAGAAGCTTACTCGTTTGCATTCTCAATTTTCACGGAGTACTGCATCAATTCAGAACTAAGTCACACACATAAAAATCTTGTAGATTTGCGATAACAGGAATGCAGGATGGTTACCGCAAATGTCCCCATCTTAGACTACACTTGCCAAGACGCTGCGTTAGCGCCTCTTTTCTCCTTTTATGAAGAGAACCGAAAGACGGTAACAGAGACGAAACAAAGGGAACCAATCAGGCCCTAGGACCGCTGATTTAATTAATGTCCCTAACAAGCTAACAGATCTTATTGATTTTCAGTTGTTTCTCAAATAAGCAACTCAGCAAGCCAGTCAGTGGGTGAATGCTACGGCACTGTTACTGAAACACATTCGAGCTCATCCGGATGTACCAGCGGAGTGAAGCAAGCCCAGTTGCTCTGAGAAGAATTTACAGCTTCTGTTTTGAAATTTACGAAGCGTCAAAAAACAGAGCAAAAATCGTGCCTTTACTAGTAAAAAGAAATTATTGCCGCAGCTTCTCTCCCTGAGCACATCATCTTAAAACATTTCCCAATAACGCATATCCATTACAATTACAAATAACTTATTTGGCTGGAGGACCTTCGTTGCTCTGCTCTGGACAGTCTGTTGCCGGCACTGGTTGTAACTATCGCTGTACATGCCCATCGTGACATCCTTATCATTCAAGCTTGTTATAAACAGATTCAGCAACTCAGCACAATTTAAATCATCGACAAACTGCCCGATGTGTCCCATGAAATGCTGAAATCACTAACGTGGTTGAACAGACAAAGAAGCCCTGACAAAAGTTTGCACAATATTTCCAAAAAATATCAAAGAATGGTGACCTCGGGATTGTGATCGTAAAACAAATTCATATCAATACGATGCTTTTTCATCATCACTGCGGCTTCTCTGAAACAACAGGTATCCAACAACTCCTTCAATTTGCGTAGCTGTAACTGCCTGAGATAAATCGTTTCCAAATTTCCTGTAAGCCATTGAATGCTAACGGAAAGAGATGCAGGAAGAAGAAATTCCTAAAGCAATGAGTTAACAGCGGATAGCGACGGGCCCCAAACAGATAAGCAAAAAAGGAAAAAAAGCTGCTAGCATTAC